TGATCAAAGCCTTTCCAAATCTGGTAAAAGACATTTATTTACAGATTTAAGAAGCTCAGTAAATCCCAAACAGGACAAATATGAATAAAACCACACCTACACACATCAGTTCCAAATTACTGAAAATTAAAGATCAACTTTTAAAATCTTGAAAGCAGTCAGAGAAAAAACAAATTATATACAGTACAGCATGGCAAAGATTGAACTTATCGTCAGAAGTTATGGAGTCCTAAGCAAGTGGAACTGTATCCTTACAGTTCTGAAAGAAGAAATTGTCAACACAGTTCTGTGCTCTCCAAGAGGAATGTAAATAAACATATTTTTGGAAAAAGGAAGACTGAAGGAATTTGTTGCCATCAAATGTACACTACCAGAAATGCCAAAGGAACTTTTTCCAGGCTGAAGGTAAATGATACCAGAGTGAGAATCAGATCTTTAAGAGTGAATGATGAACATCAAAAATGGTAAATACCTAGGGAAATGTTTTCTTTAACATACATATTTAAAGCAAACACTACAGCACTTGGGTGTATGATGTGTGCAGCTGTGGAAGGCATGGTGGCTGCGGCTCAGGGCGGCAAGAGCCTCTGTGGCGTCGTGACGCGGGGCAGCATCAGCTCTGAGCGGGCAGTCAGGGTGAGTGTATATACTGCCATCACTAGAACAACAACTATTCTTTAAAAATGCAAAGAAGTATAACCAAAGAACTGAAAAGTAAATTGAAAGGGGATTTTTAAATACTCAAATAATGTAAAAGAAGGCAGGAAAGAGAAAACAGGAACAAAACACTACAGAGACAAGCAGAAGACAACCAAGTGGTAGCTCTGAATCCACTCCTGGTGTCATCGTACTTTGCCAAAGCCCAGAGAATGAATGTACAATGTCCAGCACAGCCCTGGTGTAAATACGGACTCTGGTGACAGTGGTGTGTCAGCATAGGTTCACTGGTTGTAACAAACGTATCTTCTGGTGCAGGATATTGACAGCAAAGGAGACTGTTTGCGTGGGGGTGGATGATGTATAGGAACCCTCTTATCTCCTGCTCAGTTTTGCTGTGGACCTAAAACTACTCTAAAAAATAGTCTTTTGTATATTAAAACAACATAAAGAAAAACCAGAGGGACAAGTAGAAAACAAATAACAAAATGATAGATGTAAGTACAACCATAGTGATAGTTACATTAAATATTAATGGATAAATAGACAAGACCCTTACGGCATGCTGTCTATAGGAGATCTTGAAATATAGAAGACACAGTTTGAAAATAACTAGATGTGTGTGTGTGTATATATATATGTATATAAATATATGTATCTTGCAAACAAGGCTGGAGTGGCTATATTTATATCTAATAAAATAGAATTTCAAGATATATAGTATTGCCAAAGATAAATGGGAAATTTCTGATGATAAAAGGGTCTCCTTTCATCAAGAAGACATATCAGTTATGAATATACCTAGTTAGTAATAGAGCCTCAAAGTAATTGAAGCAAAATGACAGAATTAAAGGGAGACATAGACAATTCTTCAATAATAATGGAGGTTTTAGCATCTCCCTCTCATCAGTTGTTAGAACAAAAAGACCAAAAGAAATCAGTAAAGACAGAGGATCTGACACATCTAACTGATATTTGTAGAACAGTACACCCATCAGAAGCAGAGTACAGATTCCTAAGTGGATATTGTATAATCTCTAATGTAGACCAACTGCTATGCCCAAAGTTTAAAAAAAAATTTTATTTATTTGCAGAGGACATGATTATTTACATAGAAGATCCTTAGAAATTTATAAGGCCTGTTAGAACTATCAAGTGAATTTAACAAGATTTCAGAAACCAAGGTTAATGTGCAACTTTTAATTCTGTTTTTGTATACGAACGGCAAACAATTGGAAAATGAAATTAGAAATTCAGTTCTATTTACAGTAACTAGAAAAAGAACTTAGTGATAAGCTTAACAAAAGATGTACAAGACCTCACTGAAAGCCAACATTGCTGAGAGCAGTTAAAGAAGACTTGAAGAAATGGAGAGAGAACATGTCCGTAGATTGATTGGAAGACTATATATTGTTAAAATGTTCATTATCCCGGAGAAAATTCCAGCAGGCTTTTCTGTAGAAATTGACAAGACAATTCTCAAATCTGGAAGCCCATATGACCTAGAACTGCTGAAGCAAGTAAGCAGAGCAAATAGGCAGAGACACTGCCGGACCTCAAACTTTCTGTAAAGCTTCGGTGGTCAAGACATCAGGATGCTGGTGAAGGAGGGCGCGTGAATAAATGGGTCAGGCGGAGGGTCAGAGGTGCACCGGTGTGTGTGTGTGGGATCGATTTCAACAAAGACCTCTAAAGAATTCCCTTTGAAAGGGAAAGTCTCTAACAAATGGTGCTACACTCACAACATAGGTAGGTTAGGGGAGGCCGTGCAGCACAGAGAAGACAAGCTGTGACTCTGCAGCATCTTACGCTGACAGAGTGACTGCAGTGGGGTGTGGGGGGGCATTTGATAATATGGATGAATGTTGAAACCACAATTTGCTCATGTAAAACCTTCATAAGATTGTATTTCAATGATAACTTAATTTTTTTTAAATGGTGCTATAAGAACTGGATATACATATGAAAGAAGTGAACCTTGATTTTACCTCATACCATACATGAAAGTAACTAAAAATATAAAAACTAAAACTATAAAACTTCTAGAACAAAACACAGGAAATCTGTATCACCCTGAGGTCAAAGCGGAGATTTCTTAGAACACAAAAAGCAAGAACCATAAAAGAAAAAAAAAGGATGTGTTTGATTTTATAAAAATGAAAACACTTTATCTTCTAGACACCTATAAGAAGATAAAAAGGCAAACCACAGAATAAGAGAATATTTTCAGTACATGTATCTGGCAAAGAATATATAAAAAGCTATTACAATTCAGTAATAGGCAACCCAATTAAATGAATGGGCAAAAGATGTGGACACTTTATGAAAAGTAATAAGATGTATAAATGGCCAGTAAACACATGAGCAGATGTTGACCATCATTAGTTATTAGAGAAATACAAATTAAAACAACAAGATACCTCTGCACACCCACGATACACTGCCAAGTGCTGGCAAGGGTGTGAAGCAAAGGGGTGCTCACACAGGGCTGGTGGGGGTGCTGGCCTGGTGCCCGGTACGCAGACCCACAGCTCCTACGGGGTCAGGTGTGCACTGACCTTCACCCAGCCGTTCCAGGCCTAGGTATTTGCCCAAGAGTAATGAAGAGAAATGTCCACACAGAGACATGTACAAGAATGTTCACAGCAGCCTTATTCAGTTACCAGAATCTGGAAGCAGCTCACAGCTGGTGGATGGGTGAAGGAAATGGCCCTGTCTTCACCATGGAATATTAAGCAGCCATAAAAAGGGACAAAGCACGGAAGAATTTAAAGTTTATTACACTGAATGGAAAGAGCCAGACACAAAAGCGTACATACTGTATGGTCCATTTACATGAAAACCTAGAAGACTCAAACTAATCTACAGAGACAAGGATCTGTCCACTGGGTACCTGCAGTTAGGATGGTCCTGCAGAGGGGCAGGCAGCTTGTCCCCCCTCATAAGAGTCACGGGCTTCAAATGGACACATTCACTGTATGTGAATTATGCCTCACTAACATTGACTGAATAGCAGATGCAAATGTTCACTGAAAGCCTGGACCTTGGACTCCTGAATTGGAAGGCTTTTGTGGCTTCCTGTGAGCCCAGAGATACCTCTTACCAAGAGTGAGTGGAGGGTCCTTTACTTCTGGAGTTTTCCATGAGGCAGGCAAAGATGGTCTGTATTGAACAAAAGTTAAATGGATGAAAACAAAAGGTGTGATTTGATTGTGTAGGTTAGGATTCTGTCTGTGACATCGGTATTTGCTCTCATAGAAAGAAGGTCCATCAGAGAAAAGTAGGCATTTTTAGTGGGATGGCAAGAATGGACAGTGGTTGGGGGCACTTCCTGCCTCTGCAGGGCTCCCTGCAGCCCCCGTCCGATCCCAGCATTGTTCTCCTGAGTGTCGGGACCTCAGATGGACCTCAGATGCGGGGCCCTTCCCCGGGATCCCCCGGCAGGCACTCGCCCACCGCCCTGGGCCAGGCAAGGGAGTGGCTCCTCATCACCAGCCCAGACGTCTTCCTTGCAGACCCCCTAGAAGCAAGGAAGGGCAGTACCCGGAGGTGCCCGGAAGCTCCATCTCCAGGAGCCTGGGATTCCCTGTACGTGAAGCTGTTTGTCAAGTGGATGTCATTTTAGAGGAGACTTTTAGGTCAAAATATCCAGCTGCTTTTGGGGCAGCTTGTAGTCATGGTTACCTTGCAAGTTAACAGAATGTTGTGAAAACTTGTCCAACGATTCACTTCAGGGGCCGCGAGGGTCAGTGCATCCCCTCTGGTTCTGCTGCGGGGAGAAGCATCACGTGGCTGCCCAGGGCCACGTTCTGCAGTGGTGAGCACTTCATGCAGTGTGTGGCCTGTGCTCTGCACCCGCCGCTCAGCGGTCTTCCACTCTAGCGTCCCTGTTTGAGACTTAGATAGGACCTTGTCACCCACGGGATACCTTCCCTGTCCTCCTCCGTGACAGAGCAGGGCGAGCAGCAGAACACGGCAAGACCGGGGATCCCGACTGGGTGTCTGCCCCAGAGGCAGCCCCACCGCTGAGCAGCGCTGTGTCTGGGTGGCAGTGTTCACACTTCAGGTGGGGGCTTTACAAGGACGGGGAGATGGCAGACAGAGAAGTCCTGTTGGAGCACCTGTGCAGGACTGGCTGGTCCGGAATCCCCGTGCTCAGCCCTTCCCCCAGGCAGGGGCAAATGGTGGAGCACTGTAGGGGAAGGCGTCTGTCCAGAGGCCAGACCCAGAGGTCTGAGTGGCCCTCCCGGCCCCCGGCCAGGGACTTTTGTGTGAAGCGCAGCCTACGTGGTGTGGCTGTGCATGGCCAGCGGTGGGCCTCACCTGTCCGCCTTGATTCGCAGGCCTGGGACCAGGGACGCCTGGCTGCTTAGCACCCCTGCTGTGACCTCTGGTCGCAGGGCGCCTGGATCTGGATGTCTGTGGCTCGTGTCCCGCAGGGCCAGGTAAGGGTCCTCCGCCTCGCCCCCCACCCCCACCCCAGCACCCCAGAACGCAGTGCCCATGTCTGCACAGCGCCCCTCTCTGCTGCAGACTCTGGGCTCCAGAGCATGGCGCTCCGGCGTGCTGTCCTCCTGGCCGGCCTCCTGGCGGAAGTCACTGGCAAATCTTCAGAGGGCACGGTGAGTCCCTCTTGGGCAGTGGTATGGGAACCAGGATGCCAAATCGGAACGCTTGCGTCCGGTCCCCTCGTGGAGGTGGTGGGTGCTTTGCCTTTGACCTTTAAGGGTTACCCTGGCCCGAGGGACACCAATGGCGGCTTCCATCGGGTCCAGGGAAGCCCGTGTCTCTTGAAGGGCCCACCACTCGCGTCTGCACCGTGTTGCCTGCTAGGACCTTTTTGCCAAACTGGACTTGCTGCTGCATCTGAAAAGGGTCTCTGCAGAGCTGCTCAGTGGCACCGGCCAGAGCCCCTAGGTGCCTGCCCTGCTGCTGGGCTGGACAAAGACCGCTCACCCCGTCAGGCAGGGTCCATGGCTGGTGCCCTGGCTCCCCTGGGCCAGCCACACGCACCCAGCCCCACAGTGTGGCCGGGTGGGGCCTTCCAGACAGTTCCCCTCTGCCACGGGGGTGGGACAGGATGGCTGGGCCATGGTCCCAAGTCTGCCTTTCGCTGTGAGCCAGACTTCAGCCCCTCCCATGGTGGCATGGACACTCCATGCCACTCCTTAGATGTCCCTAACTGTCCATGGGGTCTGGTCACAAGACACAACAGCTCAGCTTGATGAGACACCACACCCGGCCCCATAAATGGCAGCCCGAGTTTCTGCACAGCACACTGCCCTCTCTGCACGTGGACACGCTGGCCTCGTTCAGCCCCCTGAACCACTGCCCCAGGCTGGCCACCTCTGTGGGGGACCTGTCAGTGGGACCCCGAGGGATTCCCCCTCTCTGGCCTCTGGAAGCTGGGTGCTGAGGAACATGCTTCAGTTTATTTGGTCTTCGCGTGTTCAGTCCCAGAGAGTGTCCTTGTGTGTGGCTGTGAGTCCTCACCTCCCTCCAGGTAAGGGGACGGGCACCCAATGCTGGTTCTAGTAGAGGTTGGAGCCTTGGGCATCGAGGTGAGCTCGCGAGGCACCCCCTCTGTGGATGCCGGTGCAGCCTCGCCCTCCTGGCCTGCATGAGCTGCCTAGCTGGGCTGGAAGCTCACTGCCATCTCCTCTCCAGGGCCAGCAGCCTGAGTGTTGTGTGGATGTGGAAGACGTCAATGCTACCTGCCCAGGTACAAGCCTGTGTGGCCCAGGTAAGCCACTTTGGTGCGAGCAGACCTGACCCGCCTTGGTGACAGGGTGGTGCTCATCCGTGCTTCGCCGAGCTCACCACGCCAAATGTGAGCAGCAGGGCACACCAGCCTCTCGGGAAGGATGCCAGCATGGGGCCAGGAGCAGGGTGAGGGGCTGGAGTGAGCAGGGCAGCAGGAGAGTGACAGGGCTCCAGCTAATCCCCGCTCCAGCCAGCAGCCTGGTGCATCTTCCTGGTGGGAAGGAGGGGCAGCCATGGCTCTGGGGGCTTGGTGGGGGCAGGCTTTGCTGCTCCCTGCTGGGGTGTGCCCCCCTGGGCTGAGAACTGCTGCTAACAGGGCTGCGTAAGGCCTGCTGCGTGAGCAGCGGCAGCCCCCAGTGCCACGTGCCGGGTTGGGCAGAGGCGGCCAGGAACAGGCACCAGACCGGGTGGCTGAAGGACAGCGAGCCCTTGCACCGGTCTGTGGGCACACTGCTCCTCACACTGGTGACGTTTCTTTCCTCCCGGGGGGTGGTGGGGGGAGCTCAGATTGAACTTGTAAACCTCAAGGCTAGGAAGCACGCTCAGGACTCGCCATCAGACTGCCTGCGACCCCATACATTTGGGTGAATTTCTCTCTTCTCGAGGTCCCGCGTATCTTTTCCTGGGCCTGCCAGGGAGTGACTGTCCTTACTCATCGGTTGAGCCTGGGGAACCCAGGAAGCCAGGTACCAGGCGGTTTTTCAAAGGGGCTTTATTGGCTCCATAAAGTCACCCTTGGCTCCTAAAGCTGTGTGGTCACAGGTCCGGGCTCTCCCATCCTGCTCTGTCCCCGTTCACACCTCATGGCCAGCAGCTCCGGGCAGCCTTGCTGAAGAGCCCAGTTACCTTGGAGCTGGTCAGAGGGGTGCTTCTCAGGAGAACAGGTGCTAGGCATGTGCCCAGGACGCGAGTTCCCAGGCCCCTGGAGCCGACCGCTAAGTACACGTCACGTGCCTCCCATGGGTCCCAGCCCTCCCGAGAGATGCCGAGGGAAGGAAGGGCTGGGCTGCCGTGGCTGCCGTCGGCCTGGCGCGGGCTCCAAGCATGGCCCTCAGCCTGTGTGCCCCCAGCACTGAGGGCTGCCGCTGCTCACCGCTGTCCCACGTCATGCTTCAGGCCCTGCCATCTGGTGTCACTGCGGAAGATCTTCATGTCACAGTGACCACTGTGTGTACATTAAACATCGTATTGGTGAGATCCATGAAGACAGGCCTGTGGTTTATCCCCAGGTTGGGGCAGACAGCTCTCTGGATCCCCAGTCTGGGACCCCCTGGGGAAGGGCGCAGGGGCAACAGAGGGAGCGAGTTGCTGCAGGCAGTGCCATGATGGGCTGGGCCTGGCCATGCATGGCAGCCGCAGGTCCCTGGCCCTGGTCCGGGTCAGGTGAAGACTTGGTGGCGGGAGGTGGACACTCGCCTGTGGTCCTCACCAGACACCTGCTGATTCCAGATTCCATCCCTGGGCTCTAAAGCTTTTCTGCAGTGTCCTGTGAAGGAGCCCATGAGAGCCCCGTGGGAGAGAGGGCTGCCTGGGGTTGGGCTTGTTGCCTTTTCTGAAATGGGAGTGCCCTTCCAGCCAAACTCCCAGAGCCGGTTATTAACACTCTTAAATGAACGTTGTTTTGCGAAGTCCAGAAGATGGTCAGCTAACACGGGTTTGCCTTGAGCTGAGTGGCCTTCTTTCGGGACAGGCTGCTACCGGCACTGGAACGACGATGGGAGCGTCAGCTGTGTCCGGTGCAGGAATGGGACCAACAACGGCTCCGAGTGCCGAGGCCGTATGTTGGCGCCCCGGGCACCCCTCCCCCTCCATACCCACCCTGCCTCCTCTCACTGGCGGTCCACATCCCCTGGTTTTGGGGCACCCTGAACATTTGTCAAATGAACCCAGGGTCCCGCCCAAGCCCTCCTGTCCATTCTGGATGGCTGTGGGGAGCACCTCTATCCCCAGGGCCCCTCTCTTTCATGCCTGGATTCCCTTTGGGGCTGCATCCCTGGGGGTCCTCCGTGGGGTTCCCATGCGTGGTCCAGGACCCCCCAGTGGGTCTGGGCTGCCCACAGAGCCAGCAGCCCTGACGGCTTCCTTCCTTACAGTCGCTGGCCGGGGCACCCAGCTCCCAGTGAACAGAAGCACAGCCATGCCTGGGCGGCCAAATTTTGGTGAGCCTCTGTGTAGGCCCTGGGGGAGGGGCACCCAAGCCGTTCAGTGAAGACCCTGACCCCTTGACATCCAACTCCACCCATCCTGGTCACGGAGGGGGCCAGCAGAGAGTCCGGCCACCCAGGGGTTGGGGTCTGCTGACACCGAGCAGGGTGACGGTGGGGGCTCTGCCATCGTCCTCCACGGGCCTCTGATTGGTCCTGCTTAGCAGAAGCCCTCGCAGCTGCATGCCTTTCCTGTGCCCACCCAGCCCCTTGGTCTGTAGGAGAACACAAGAGATCAGAGATCAGAGGACACTGAAGGTCCCCTTGCACCTGTCCCCAGCTGCTCTTCTAGAATGTTGGCCCAGAGGAGACTGCAAGCAGTGCACGTGCACCTTACCCTGGTCCTCGCGGTTCTGAGGGGCACACAGGGCCCATCTCCTGGGCCTCTGTCCGCCTGGCTCAGCTGCAAGGGCCCTGCTGTTGGAGTGGGGCCTGTGTCGGCAGTGGCCACCTCCTCTTCTGAGGTGACCAGGTCCTGCTGGCAGTTGTGTCCCTCTGGACCCTGGTCCTTCAGCATAGGACATGTTGGACCTGGGCCGAGGACCAAGGCTCTTTGCACGAGTCAGGACCAGAAGCAGTGGCCATGTGCTGGCCCGGCCTGCTGAGGCTCACCGCACAGAGCAGCATCTAAGGGTGGGGCCGGCTCAGGCAACTGGCCTACTGTGGCATGAGGCTGAGTCTGGCAGTCGGGTCTGCAGGTGGTGCTGGTGAGTCCAGCTAGTGAGCTTGTTAATGCTGTGGCAAATCTGAGGCAGGACATGCTTGCCCACTCAGCTGGCATCCTGCTGGGCTCCAGTACAGCCACAAACGTGCCCTTTCCTGTATCTCAGGGTCAGGAGGGCATCCCCACAAGCATGTAAGAGCACACTGCCCCAGCTGATGGGTCAGCAGCTGTCCAGGGCTCTCAGCCATCTGTCCACCAGCCTCTCCTGGCCCCACAGAGGCAGAGATGACAGCGCTGGGAAGTTCCCTCCAGTGACAGTGAACGGGCACCCAAGTGCCGAGGCTGTAGGCTGAGTCCCAGCCGTTGGGTTGCAGGCTCTGACCCGGCAGGCCAGGGGGTGTGGGGCCCCCATCTGCACCGAGTCTTGAGGAAGGAGACGGGGAACCCAGGTCCCACCTCCCCATGAGAAGCCGAGTCAGCTCCCCAGAGCCTGCTGCCAGGTGGGCGGGCCTGTGAGGGGCTCCCGAAGCTGTGGGGGCCCCCGTGTGTCTGGGGAGCATGGTCTTGTGGGGATCCTGCTGGGCTGGCCGCCCCAGCCGCTCACTTTGCGTGCAGGCGGCCACCAGGCGGCAGCCGCCCTCCTCCTGGGGACGTTCCTCATCAGCTCCGGCCTCATCCTCTCCGTGGCTGGGTTCTTCTACCTCAAGCGTGCCAGTAAGCTCCCCAAGGTCTTCTATGGAAGAAACAAAGGTATTCCCTCATGCCACCACGGCAGCCCTGCCCATCCAGAGGGGTCCTGGTCAGTGCACACCCCTACTCGAGCCGCAGCACTGCTGAGGCAGAGAAGGGTCAGGGGCAGCCAGTGCGAAGCCGTCTCGAGAAACAGTGCCAGGGCACTGTGCTGTCCCGTGCTTCTCACGCCCGAGAGTAAGAGGGACAGGTGCTTCCTGGGGATGATCCTGCACAGATTTGTGGGGGTCTCAGTGCAAAGGCTTTGGTGGGCACAGCATCTAGGTGTCATGGTGGGGTTGCCAACGAGAGGTAGGGCTGGGCAGGCATCCCCGGCCTTGGGGCTGCCTCTGCCCTGCAGCTCTGTCTGCTGGGGCTGAAGGTCGGGCTGGGGCAGGGACAGTGGGGCTCCCCTCACCCCAGCTTGCCCTGGCCTGGACCCTGGCTCTGCCCATCCTCTCCAAAGAGACAGGAGTCACTCCTTCTGTGGCCTTCCTGGGTGACGGGGTGGTCTGGCTGGCGGGTCTGATACCTCAGTGGCAACTAGGCAGAGCCCAGCCCATCAGAGGCCCCCTCACCCTGTGCACCCACCCTTAGCCAGCCCTGGAGCCGTCGTGGGCCTGTAGCTTGGAGTTGGCTCTGGGAGGCTGCTGTGCAGCAGGCTCAGGGGTCCCAGTGTGGCACATGCAGCGGCTCTCTCCACCCCAGCACCAGACAGCTGCGGGGTGGGTGTGGAGGTCACAAGGCATGCCCATGGCCCTGGGTGGCTCCCACTAGGGCTCTTGGGGGCCCCCTACCACCAGTGCAGGTGGGAATGTGGCCAGGCAGGCAGCCAGGCTGAGGGCCCTGTTGGGCAGGCGTGGATTGCGACTTTGCTGGGCCTGGAATTGTGCGAGAGCCTTTGCAGGCCTTGCGGACCCCCACCCAAAGTGAGGGAGCTGCCCCCCAGGTGAGGGAGCTGCCTGCTGACACCTGTCTGTTGCCCCACAGCCCCTGCCCTGCAGCCTGGTGAAACAGTAAGTAGCAGGGAGGCCGGGCTGCCGTGTCCGGAGTGGTGCTGGGCCCCCTGGCCTCACTGCCTTTTCTCCTTTCCAAGGCCGCGATGATCCCCCCACCACAATCCTCAGGTATGTCAGCTCGCACTGTCTGTCCCTGTGCAAGAATTCACAATGCCAGGTGCCGGGTGTTTCCTGGACCGTCCCATCTGCAGAATCAGCTGCCCTCCCAGGGCCGCTGCAGGGATGGGCTGGGCTCAGCGGGGACCTGGCCGTGCACCCTCACCAGCTCTTAGGATGCCGGCCCAGGCTATTCAACCAACCACAGCTTCTCTGCCTTCCCCGTTCATTCTGAGTTGTCAGCCTGTCATCCCTGCCATCCTCGCTTGGCCCTGAGCCAGTCCCTTGGCTCTTCCTGAGCAGCAGTGGGCACAGGGGCCAGGGGCCAGGAGCCCCCGACCTCCCCAGTCTGTGTCTGACCCTGTGCAGAGGTCAAGTGGGGACAGGTGAGGGTGGCCCTCCTCTGGGGACAGAGTGGTGACTTGGTCAAGGCTAGATCTGTCCTGCTCGGTAAAACACCATAGTCTGATTTCTCCAAAGCAGCACCTCGACTTCTTACGTGCTCTGTGTCAGTCTCCTGGGGCAGCTGCATCAGATCCCTCAGACAGGGCTCCGGCCCCCAGGACAGTCTCTAGGTTCCAGAGCCCAGAGGCCAGAATCAAGGTGGGGGGGGGGGTGCCCCCTGGGGAAGCCCATGGGCTTTTGGCGCCTCCAGCCTCCCCTCCCACCTCCACATGGCCTTTCCCCTCTGGGCCTTCTCTTCCCTCCTGGCCTTACCATGTCTGCAGAGAGCCTTTTCCTAGGGTGCACCCTCAGGTTCCAGGGATCAGGACGGGGACATATCTCTGGGGGCCTCATCCAGCCCTACATGGCATCATGTGAGCTGTGCCTTCTGGGAAGGCCAGGCCCAGGGCCCTGGGCGTGAGGCGAGGGCGCCCAGGATGAATGGGAGTTCAGCACAGAACTGCCCATGCCCACAGGCTGCAGCTCTTGCTTGTCTCCCCGCTGGCTGCTCCACACCTGATCCCCAAGAGTTCCAGTCAGGGCCGTGACCTGGGGCCGCTCCTGGCATCCCAGACCCACTCTTGACCCACTGTCTCTGACCCTGTTTCAGTGCGGAAGCCACGCTACGTCAGGCACGAGCGGCCCTTGGACAGAGACGCGGGCCCTACTTCTGTCTCCTCCGTAGAGACTCGGGTCAGCAACGTCTGACCTGAAGGCCCCCCTGCAACTCCTCGCCCCACCTTGGAGGGGGCCCAGCACACGAGGGCAGGCACCGCCCAGTGAGGCCTTGGGACAGGCCAGGACACGGTCCCTGGCTCAGCTCGGGAGCCCACCCAGCCGCCACACCGCTTCCTCTTTCCCTGCCCACAGCTGCTTGGGGTCACTGAGCAGGAGCGGGCATCCCCGGACAGGCTTACAGGGGCGGCCCTGCAAGGTCTGCGCCTCTCGGGAGGGACAGGGAGCTCCCAAGATCCTGCAGGGTGGGGCCCGCCGAGGGCTGACAGCTGCACCACCAGGCCGAGTGGCCCCTGAGCACCCGGCTAGGAGGAGGGAGACTGAGGCCTTCGGGTGTCCCCGACAGGGTCCCGACAGTGGTGGGGCCTGTGGTGCAGGCTTTCCAAGGAGAGGTGCCTGCCTGCAGGGCTATCTTTCTGTGGCAGACAAATCCCCGCCCAGACACCCATTTTCAGGAGCCGCAGGAGCGGGTTTCCTGACTTCTGTCTGTTTTTTTTNCTTCCTTCTGCCTGAAATTCTATAGTGACTTCCATTAGTACTTTAACAAAAACATTTTTTTTTTTTTTTGAGAGGGCATCTCTCATATTTATTGATCAAATGGTTGTTAACAACAATAAAATTCAGTATAGGGGGGTCAATGCTCAATGTACAATCATTAATCCATCTCAAGCCTAATTCTCGTCAGTCTCCAATCTTCTGAAGCATAACGAACAAGTTCTTACATGGTGAACGAATTCTTACAGAGTGAATAAATTCTTACATGGTGAACAGTACAAGGGCAGTCATCACAGAAACTTTCGGTTTTGATCATGCAATATGACCTATAAACCATCAGGTCAAATATGAATATTCATTTGATTTTTGTACTTGATTTATATGTTGATCCCACATTTCTCCTATTATTATTATTATTTTTATTTTTAATAAAATGCTGAAGTGGTAGGTAGATGCAAGATAAAGGTAGAAAACATAGTTTAGTGCTGTAAGAAGGCAAATGTAGATGATCAGATGATCAGGTGTGTGCCTATGGACTAAGTATTAATCCAGGCTAGACAAGGGCAGCAAGACATCCACGGATGCAGAAGATTTCTCTCAAAGCAGGGGGGGTGAGGTTGACTTCTGTCTGTTTTTAAGTAGAAATGCATTTTGTAGAAAAGCCCCAGAGGCACTGTTTTCGTCCACTCCCACCTGACCTGCCCCCATGTCTGGGCCTCAGGCACTGCTGTCCTCAACCACGCAGAGATGGACACTGGCCCCAAGCGGCTGGGGATCAAGACCGGGCCCCCACAGGGACACCTGTGCCAGGGCCACACCTACCTGGGACTGCTGCGTGCATGACTGGCCTCCCCAGCCTGCAGAGGACCGTGGTGGCTGGCCTTCCCTTCTGGCTGCACTAGGCCCCCAGACACGTTTCTGGCTCAGCTGGCTGCAGACTGCTGGGTTCCTGTGGTGCTGCCAGCCCCACCCTACACACGTGCCCCGGTCATGACTGAGGCCTTCAAAGTTCGGTCCACCTGGAGGGGCCGAGGCAGACCTGCATGGTCACCCTCTTTGGCGCCGCGAGACCCATCTTGAGTGTTTACAGTTTAAGAATATGAGCTCGTGCATCAAAACTTGAACTAGAGACCGTCTAGCAGCCCAGAGGGCATGCTGGCTTAAAATCTGTCAAATAAATTATTCAGGGCTTCCCCTCCTGCCCTCACCACTCTTGAGGTTCATGTTTCTAAGTGAAGGAGCCCCACCCAGGCCTGGCCCCGCCTACCCCACTGCCAGAGCCACTACCCCAGCTGGGGACAGCACAGGGAGGCATGGGGGCCCCTCCACGGGACCAGCACCCCCACCCTAACCCTGCGCCTCTCCTGGGCGGGTTCCATCTTTCAGGTTGTGATCACTGGAAGAGGGACCTTGTCCCAAGCTGTCTCATGAAGGACAGCCCAGTGGCCCCCACCAGCCCCGACAGGAGCTGGGTTGGGAAAAGTGTGGGTGCCTCTTAGGGAGGCTTTCCTGTAGGGAGGGACATGGAGGTTACCAGTGACTGTAGGCCCCCTCGCGGACAGGACACCCATGGGTCTCGGCTCACAGACCACAGGAGGAAGTCACAAATGGGCGGAGTACAGGCTGGGGTCACCGTGGGGAGGCAGGGGTTCCTCCCCAAGCCAGTGAGTGGATGGCTCTTTGGAGGGGCTGGTGGGTATGGGGACTCTGCTGACAGGTGGTGGGACTGCCCTGGGCTTCATCCCTGGACACCCGTGCCAGAGCCGGCCAGGACTGAACGGCAGCAGGCGGCCCTGCCCTGGCTGCGGCTGTCCACTGCGGGCCTTAGATGCCTACTCTCCTGTCCTTGGGAACGACAGGTCTGAGGTCTGTGGCCAGAGGGGCACCTGTGGGAGCCTCTGCTCTACCCTGGGCCCACACGCCAGAGCAGCCAGAGCACAGCAAGTCTCCCTGAGGCCCTGTCCTTTGTTCTGGAGAATTCCTGCCCCACAGCTGACAGCCTTGAGGGGCAGTGAGGTTGCTGTGGGCTCAGGTCGGCCCTTGGTGCCCCCAGGGCCCAGCCATGGTAGGGAAGCTGGCCCCCAGAGCCACCCCTTCTCTACTGTTGAAAACCCCTCAGGGCCCTTGGCCATCCCTGGGTCCACCTGACTTTGAGCCAGTGTCTGCAGCTGTGGGGGGAATGCCTAGCCAGGCTGACTCGGTGACTTCCTAGTGGCCAGTGCAGGGTGGGGGCCCCCCCTAGAATGAGCCCCAGGGGACCGGCCCCCTCCCCAGTTTCTATCCTGAGTGCCTCACCCAGCCCTTACCGAGACTCCAGGCCCCCAGACAGTGGGGGATGGGGTCAGTGGACTCACCAGCCCAGTAACCCTGACAGGCATCCAGGCTAGAAAGGGATGGGGGAAGGTGGGTGCCTGAGGTCGGTTGGGAAGCCCAGCAGGGGTGGGGCATCAGCAGTGGGGGCCCTGCGCAGCCCCCTCCCCAGTTTCTATCCTGAGCGCCTCACCCAGCCCTTACCGAGACTCCAGGCACCCAAAAAAGACATCAGCAGCTCAGGACAGAGCAGGCGGGTGGGGCACCTGACTCCGCAATATGTCAATTGCCGGGGGCCCGCCCACAGCCCCCATATGCAGGTGAGCATGGTGTGGGGTTTGGACAGCAGGCGCAGCCTTGGGTCACAGCTGGCAGCTGACTCCGCACTGGAAACACTGAGAACTCAGAGGTCAGCAAGAGTGAGAGCCCACTGCGGCCTGAGGTGATGTGAGAGCAGAGTTCCTGCCCAGGGGCCTGGGAACCCCAGAAGGAGCTGGCCGTGGCGAGATCGGGGAGGGGCAGGAATGGCTGAGTCCACTGGTCAGCCTGGCAGGGCCGCCTGGTTCCCAGAGGGCAATGCTAAGCCTTTCAGGAGCCCAGGGCCCAGAGCCGGAGGCTGTGGCCAGACCCGCATGCGCACCGCACTCCAGAGCCCTTGCTTCTGGGTGGCCTCTGCGTCTGCCTCCCCAGCACTGGACGGTGGGGACACTAGTTCCTGCCCATGTCAGATGCACAGCCCTGACTGATGTGCCCTGGCTGGCGTGGGGAGGGGGGCAGAGCAGTCAGCAGGTCCCCCGGCACTGGGCAAGCACCCAGGCCCCAAGTGAGCCCTGAAGGGGCCCCTGCCTGCCCCGGCCAGCCATGCTTAGGACTCTGAGGTCGGTTCTGTCCCCAGACCTGGAGTGGGGGAGCACATCCAGGGAGACTGGGGGGCTGCAGGCCTCTCTCCTCACCCGGCCAAGGAGAATCCTGTCCAGCCCAGAACTCCCAACATCCAAGAGCCACACCTGGACAGGGGTGGTCCCTGAGGGCCACGGGCTCTCCTCGGTCCAGGGAGTCCCCAGACTGTGGGGTCACATGGTGGCAGCCCCGATCCCCAACGGGTGTGCCTGCCTGCACTCAGCCTGGCCAGCCCACTGGCGTGTGCACTCCCATAGAAGACACGTGTGACCACGGCTTCATGTGCCATCTGCCCGTCTGCCAGGATGGGCAGTGACCCAGTGTGTGGCTACCAGGTGGGCCAGCCAGGTCCTGAGCTGCCCTACCTCCTGCACAGCAAGGCCAGGGCACCGGCACAGATGGCACATTCCTCAGGCTGCTGGTCTCTGGGTACTGACTGTGTCTGAGGAACTCGAGTGACTTCAGAGCCGGGATATTCCCAGGAGCCCTTGGGAGGCCAGCCAGGTCCCGAGCGGGAACCAAGACACTTCCTGGAGGTAGCATGTGACCTGAGTCACAACCCCTATGGGAACCAGAGCCCCAGCTGGGCCCTGCCACGCAGTAACTCCCCACACTGAGTCCCAGCCCTCACCCCGGATCCGCACTCCTCTCTGGGCCCCCTCTCCAGGCACCCCCTTCCCTGTCCCCGCCCCCTTCCTGTGTCTCCCTCCCCTGTCTCCACCCAAAGACCCTCACTGAGATGATACCTGGTTATGGGGCCGACTCTGGAGCCCAGCCCCCTCCTCAGCCCAAGTCCTCCTTCTCCTCTGGCAGGGATGGGGCAGCCCCCACCCACAGTCACCCCATCTCAGTTTCCATGAGAGTCTCAGCCCCCCTCTGCCCCAGCCTCCACCTAGCTACCCTTCCCCATCCTGTGGCCCAGCCTCCTAAGGCTTGGGACTTCCTCCTGACCTCTGACCTCTGTTGGCTCTTGTGCTTCTAGTGCTGTTGGAGCTGGGCAGCCTCTGGGGGTCCTAGGCCACCTGCTGAGGTGGTCAGTGGGCAACTGCCAGGTGTGGGCATAGCCCGAGGTGTCTATGGGGTGAGGGGGCTAACCCCCAACCCGGTGGACCCACTCCCCCAGCCTCACCAAGCCCAACACCCACTGCCACAGGCTTGGAATTGGGGGTCCATCTCACGCCCTGGGCCCAGCCCAGCAGCAGGGGCCCCGTCTGAGTGGCACCGAGGTGCACTGTGTGTGCTGGTCATAGCCAGGGGCAGAGAAGCTTGGGAGCAGGAGAGCCAGCCATGCCCCTGGGGGCCAGGAGGGCAAGTGTGAGGCAGGAGTGTGGCTGGGACATCTCAGGCACAGGGTGGCTCGTTCCCAGCCCAACCCCCAGGCTCTTGCCAGCTGCAAGCCAGGCATTCACACGGGCTGACCCTTTGGTTGGCTAGGACCCCCCACTGGCTGGCTAAAACTGCTCCCTTCTAACCCAGGAAGATTCCTGGACCTCCCAGCTGGGTCAGGGGCTTCCTTGGACTTCGGGATCTCTGCTTCTCCATGTGTGACCATGGCTGCCCCAGGAGGAGACACTCACCTGAAACAAGTCCTGTGGCCAGCCTGGCCCCTGACTCGGCCTCGCCCCCGACGCCACACCCAGGGGTGCTTCCTGATTCCTCCCCAGAGCTCACTCCCAGCGCTTGCAGGCTGCAAGAGGGGTGGGCTGGGGCAGCAGCAGCACAAATCTGGGAAGCCGTGCATGTGTGTGCATGTGCGTGCTGAGTGGGTGCATGGGTGGGGAAGGGGGCAGGAACCAGGGGCTGCGGTCAGAGCACAGAGGCTGAGCTTGGGGGGCTCCTCAGAGGGTCCCTTTCTAGGAGGCCCACCCAGGAGCTCAGGTGTCACCAGGGCCTTGAACAGGGTCAAGGAGCAGCAGATCTGTCTCCAGAGGGGCTTCTCCAGCATCACAAGGGCCATGGAAAGGTTGTATCCAGGCATCCAGCTCCCTCCAGACTTGTGCAGGCTGTGGATGCCTACAATGCCCCGCAGCCTCACCCCAGGCTCTGACCTTTCACCTCTGACTCCCCACCCTCTGCTTCCCAGCCCGCCAGGGAGAGGATGGGAGGCCAACCAATCCCAGAGGCCCCTGGCCCCACCCCTGGCCAGCATGACCTGGAATGTATAAATACACCTGCCAGGAGCACACGCCCAGAGAACTAACACCTGCTCCGCACAGAGAGCCACGCCTGGAAGAGCACACGCATCCCCCTGCACCCCACCTGCTTGGACAGAGCAGAGGGCACACCTGCCAGACTAGTGCCACTGGGACAGCTGCTGGCAGCCAGCTCCACAGAGGGACACCTGCCAGGTAGAGCACAGGCCTACCCAGTTCCAGGGGGCTGGACAGGAGAGCTCGGAGCCTGGCTGTGGCCAACCAAGAAGCTCATGCCCAGGCCCTACTGACCTGCACCCGCCAGGTAAGGCCGGCTCAGCTGGCACTCACCTCTCACCTGTACAAGCTCAGGGTGGGGTGCCTCTGGGGAGGGGTGGGGCCTCAGTGCCAAGAAACCAGTTATATGGAGCACGGCGACCTGAGGGTGAACAGCCCAGGGTTCCCCCAGACCCTATGAGGCTGCCACTAAGCTTGTGGCTACAGCTATCACCAGGATGTGGTGACCTCCATGCTGTGGTGCCAGGGGCACTGGTGACATCACAGTGACATCACCATGACTCACGGCAGTCACAGTCATGATGCAGCAACCTGAGCCTTCATGGCATGTCACCTCTAAGTCACCCACTGGCCCACCTGGACCAACCAGAGTGAGGGTTGGGGTCACTTCTAGGGGAGCCTCCTGGGCTCCACAAGGATACGTGGTCAGGGTCTTCCCAAAGGCCATGGTCTCCTCTGTGCACTACCCTTACCTGCCCCTTATCCAGGCAGGACCTGTGCGGCTGCCTGGGTGGAGACCTTGGCCCCGGGCAGGGGTGGGAGGCCAGGCTGGGCCTGGGGGACGGGCAAGTCCCCTGTGCAAACGTGAGTGGGTCAGGAGGAGGATGTCGGCTGCATGCTCGTGCGGGCCCTGGGGCGGCAGGTTGGCCCAGAGGGTGGCTGGGGCTCGTCCACCTCCTGCCCCCTCCCCACAGGCTGAGGTGCACCTCCAGGCCCAAGGGCTGGCATCAAGCCCTGCTGGTTCCAACAGCATGGCTGGGAGACAGACCCTCCTTGGGCACGCTCCCACCCTGCTCAGGCCCTCCCTGACTTCCTGCAGCCCGACCTGCCACGGCCAAGAGTCCTGACCCTCACTTGGGCAGGCCCAGCCTCCTGCCCTCACAGGGCTGCCTGCAAACTGGGCGTGTGCCAAGCAAATCAGGCGTGAGCACCAGGATCTGTGTTCAAACCCACTTAACCTGACCCAGAGCCACACCCCTCCCATGAGAGCCCAGGTCCCGCTGGCCTTCTGACTGGGTGGCCCTGGCTGAGTCACCCCCACCCTCTGAGCTGCCACTCTGCACAGCGCCTGTTGTGTGTCACATGACCTGGGCCCAGCCTTGCACAGCCCAGAGTCAGTAGTCACTATTGTGGGACATTGTCATCACCACCTTTATTTCTGCCCAGGTTGCACTGCCAGGCAGGGCAGGGTGGGCAGGAGGTGTCCATTAAGCAGTCAGCACGATGCCCCCGGATGCTCACCCCAACCTCAGCATGTGAGGAAGTGGGGGGCACAGGGTTACTTAGCAGAAAGACTTCGAGTCAGAAAGAGATGATAGATGGCACTCTTTGGAATTGCCCACAGGGGGCCAGTGGCCTTTCCAGGGTCTCTGGGGCTGGTTCCAGGCAAAAGAAAGGGATAGTGCGTGGATCCGGAAAGGACAGGCTGCGGTCACTCACAGTGGCCTGTCGTCCCACAGCTCAGCACCATGCCATCCAGCCAGCAGGTATGGCACACGGCCATGCCACCCCCTAGCCGGAGCAGCCCAACAGCCATGGGGCCCAGGTCCCCCAGCTCAGCCAGCAGCCCCAGGTCCCCTGGGACCCCCAGCACCCCAGGGTCCGAGAAGGTGGCCTCCCCTCTAGAGTGCTCCATCTGCTTCTCGGGCTATGACAACATCTTCAAGACGCCCAAGGAGCTCTCCTGCAGCCACGTCTTCTGCCTGGAGTGCCTGGCGCGGTTGGCAGCTGCCCAGCCGACAGGCCAGCCTGGTGGCGATGCTGTGCCCTGCCCGTTCTGCCGGCAACCCACAGCTGTACCTGCTGCCGGGGCCCCTGCACTGCGCACCAGCCGCCAGCTGCAGGCCAAGCTGCCAGGGCACCTGCGACAGGAGGAGCCCGTGTGGCTGGAGGGCACGAGACTGTGCTACCGCCCCTCGCCCTCGGCCAGCGGCCTCCCAACACCTGGCTTTGTGAGTGTGGATGTGGGTCTGAGCAAGCCCACTCAACCCACTGTGCCCACAGCTGCCCCGGGACCTGCCCATCATCGGGGCCGCCTGGTCCGCTGCTGGGCCCGCTGTGGGGACTGGAGGCGCATGGCGCTCATCACAGCCCTCCTGCTTGTGCTGTTCTGCGTGGTGCTCTGGCCGGTGCAGTGTGCCCTCAAGACCGGGACCCTGCGCTGCCTCCCCCGGGCCCCCACCACTGTCACCACCACCACCACCACCACCTCTCTTGGGCCCCTGGCCGACAACTAGGGTCGGCCACCCCACCACAGCTCCACGTGTGAGTCTTTGGCCCACACTGGGGTCACGGGAGTGCAGCAGCTGTTGGGAGTTGCTCTCCCAATCCCCAGAGGAGCCCCAACATCTCTGAGAACCCCATACCCTATTCAGCTCACCTGCCCCCAACTCTGTGGGGCTGGGTTCTGGTGGGTTGGTCAGAATGGTCCCCAAAGCCTCCAAGAATCACAGGCTCCTATGGGCTCCAGAGACTACCCCCTAACTCCCATCACACAGGTGGGGAAAACGGGTCCCAGGAGAGGCTGCCGGGTAGGCTCCTCCCTGTATACGCAGTGAATGGCCCCTTGCTGAGGAGGGAGGGGCTCGCCGAGCTTATTTTCACATTTCACCCACTACTCCTTCCCAGACTCCTCCCCGAGGGGGGGGCATGCTAAAACCCCTCCAACCAGGGGGACCCACAGAAGACAGTGGCAGGGAGCCCAGCCCCCCAGAGTCCATCCCACCCTCCTGAATTGCACATTTTTTAATAAATTATTTTGTATCCACATTTGGTAAGGAGTCCTCATCCTGTGTACCCTCTTCCCTGCACTGATGAGCACCCCCCAACCTCAGAGAGCCTCAGTCCAGACACTCCCACGAGATCTGGTTCCCAGCAGCCCCTAGAGCAGGTGGGCCACAAGTCCTAGGGGGTCCAAGTCCTGTCCCCTCTGGGCTGTGTAGGCTCTAGAGCAGTTCTGGACTTGGCTGGCTGTCCCCCACTGGACTGTGAGGCTCCCCCAGGGAGATGGGAGGGCCCAGAGCCCCTGGGGTGGAGTGGGGCAGCAGAACAGGGTCAGGCCTTGGCCCGACCTCCCTCCTCCCCTGGCCCCCGCTATGGTCACACTGGGCCACACCCTCAAGAAGTCATGGCCCCACGGCTTTGCTGGAGGCCCTGACTGGAGGGCCAGAGAACCCCGTGAGCCCCTGAGAACCAAGGACTAATGGCCAGAGAAGCAGAGGTGACCCCCAGCCTGTCCTGAAGATCCAGACTCCCAGCAGAGCCTGTCTGGGCCTGCCTGGCAAGCGGCGCAGCCAAGTGTGGTGTCACGAGGGCCCGGGAGGGAGTCCTGCCAACAGCCACCCCACCTGGTTGTGCTGTCAGCCCCAGGAATCCTGCACCACCAGGTTGCATGGTGAAGAGAGGCCAGGCAGTTCTGGCTCTGTAGGTCTTAGCCTCCACCTTCACCCCAAAGCCCAGGACCTCCTGTTCCAACCAACTGAGCCTCTGGCTGGGGTGGGGAGGGTCTCAGGAGACCCTGGAGAAGCTGAGTCCAGTCATGGGGACCCAGAGGCACCTACCTGTGCCCCAGGCCCCAGCAAAGACACACAAGTGAGAAGAGAGCATTTTACTGAGGTCACCACGAAGACCCAGGGCTGCCTGAGGTGGAGGTGTGGCCATGCACATGCCAGTGACATCACACCTGTCACGCGGTGGCCACGCACCCACGGAGCCTCGTCCTCGTCACAGCAGGGCTGGGCACCAGGCTGCACACGCAGTCGGTGGAGCATCTCGCATGTTCTCTCATCCCGCAAGCATTGTCCTCACGCAGCTGCAAGGCGAGGGCCTGGCCAGGCCCGGACACAGCAGGGGCCCAGCGCAGCCAGGGCCGCGACCCAGGCCGGTGCTGTGGGCAGGGCTGAAGCAGCTCTGAAGCGGGTGGCGCAGTCTGCAGGGGAGCCGGGCACAAACACTGCTGGCGAGGCAGGGCAAAGCACAGACGGACACTTGCACACAGACGGGCCTTCAAACGCGTGGCACACGGTGGGCAGCACGTGGCTGTGGCCCCCCACACTGAGAAGCCCCAGCCCTGCAGCCCGCCTCCCCCTCCCTGGGAGCGCCAAGGCGGCTCCACCCCACTTCGAGGCGTCCAGGCCTGCTCCGGGACGGTGGGGGGTGGGGGCCCTGCGGGACCCCTTCCCCGGCGCCCCGACAAGCTCCGGTCCGCACTGTCCTGAGCAGCCTTTGAGAAACGCGAAGGCCGGCCCGGGGCCTCCGGCGCGGCCGGGGCGGTCGGCACTCAGCGCCCGGGGGCCGGCAGGTTCTCGTACACGCCGCCCGAGGCCTCGGGGGTCCTGCGGGCGGAGGCGGGGTTCGGCGGCGCCCGGGGCGATCTCTCGCGCCCTCACCGCCCCGGCCGCCCGGCCCCGCCCCGGGACCCCACTCACGCCGCTGGCGCCCGGCTCGGAGCGGCTCCAGGGCAGCGGCGGCGCTCGGCGATCGCGGCGCCCACGTTCAGATAGCGGCTCTCGTCCCGGGGCTCGCGCTGGGGGGAGGGGCCTCCGGTCACCGCGGTGACGTCAGCGCATGCCCTCCCCGCCCCCGCCCCGCTCGCACCTGCTCGCGCAGGCGCAGCTGCTCGCCCTGGATGTACCGCTGCAGCGCCAGGTACACAAACTTGTACTGCGCCTCGGTCTGCACCATCCCCGAGCGCTGCCGCCGCACCAGCTCAATCGTCCTGGGGACGTCGATGTCGCAGTCCAGCCCTGCGGACGAGGGGCTCAGGGCGGGGCGGAACCCGCGGGGTGGGCAGGACGGGGCGGGGCCCGCATCCGAGAGGCTCACCGTGCCTGCGGAGGAGCCCCACCAGGATGTCAATCACGATGATAGTGCCAGTGCGTCCGATGCCGGCGCTGTGGGGACAAGCAGGAAGCTTGCGGCGAGGTCCGGGGTCGAGGCCGTGGCCCCAGCCCGTTGCGCCTGCGGTGCCCGGGTGGCTGCGCCCCGCCGCACCTGCAGTGCACCACCATGGGCCCGGCCCCGGGCGTGCTGCTCTGGGCCTGGTTCACGTCGTCCAGGAAGTCTAGGACGCCGGCGGGCTCGGCGGGGACCCCATGGTCGGGCCAGCTGAAGTACTGGTAGTGCTTCACGGTGCGCGGCGGCCCCTCCTGGGCGGGCGGACTGTGAGAACCCGACACTGCCCAGGGTCCGGCGCAGAGCCGGCGCCCCAGAGCTCTGTGACCTCTGGGGCGGGAGGGTCGCAGGGGATGAGCCGGGAAGAGGCAGGCCTAGCTCGGCGGGGTTTGCCAGCAGTGACCAGCAGGGCCAAGGCCCACCAGGAGGGCGGAGGGAAGGATAGGATTTAGGGCTTCGGGGTTCCCCGGATGGCCCCAGGCAGCTCAGGCACTGCACTAGGAAGGGGGTGGGTCATCGGTGGGGAGGGAGCAGGCTTGGGGGGCAGTGAGTTCTATTTGGGAAGAGCCAGATGTGAGGGGCCTCCAGGAGCCCCCCAGGTGGTCAAACAGATCTGTGCCTGGACAGAAACAGGCACCACTGTCATACAAAGCTGATGAGGTGGCCCAGGAGACTGTGGAGGGCGCCTGCGAGGCTGCCCTGGAGGCCGGCAGCTGGGGTTGAGAGTGTGGCCCTCCTCAACACGGCCCATCAGAGCCCAGACTAGGACCGTGTCCACCAGGGAGAGGGGACATGGAAGCCACCAAGGCCAGAGAGACAGGTAACTGGGGGTTCTCCCAGCACAGCTTTCAGCACAGACCTGGAGACTTCCCAACTGCTCTGACCCCGATCCCCCAAGTCCCACTGCCCTCCGCTCACCTGGTCTGACCGCCACACCTGCAGCTCCCTCACACAGTAGCCATGGGCCTGGTTTTCAGCCAAGTTGCACACACGCACACAGCCATGTTCTTGGCTGCCATGTGGGTCTGGCCAGTATCGGAAGCATTTGTTCTGGGAGGGAGGATGCACTGTGTCACCCCCACACCCTGCCAGGGACACGCACACAACACACACACGGGGGCTCTCTAGGGCCCTTCCACCTCCTCCCAGCATCACAAAGGCTGAAAGAGAGACAAGACTGGGCCAGCCCCCAGCGCAAGTCCACACGGACACACAAGGGACAAGCCCACCCTCTTACCCGGCCTCGCTCCACCTCCCGGGTGGTCATGACAATGACCCGCGTGTTCTCCTGGTACACCATGGCCCAGAAGGCAGCCACTGTAGTCTGCAGGCAGCCCTGGGTGGCAATGTACACCTTGCCCAGTCCCTGACCTGGCTTCTCTTCTGGGTCACTCTGAAAGGGGGAGGGGGTCAGCGGCCTGCTGTTTCCAGAAATTAAAGTGTAGGAGGACAAATGGAAGTCTACGCACATGATACATGAAGTAGCCTGAGGTGGCTCATGAACAAGCCCTTCCACCCTGGGCTAGGGAAGGGCTTAGGGCCCATATTTAGTCGAGCCTGCTCTGAGGAACCCTTGGGAACTGCTGCCCCCAACTCCCCACCCCTGAATATCTGTTGTGCTGCCAGGGCCCCTGGGCCCCTGGGGGCCCTGGCTCTTCCTGGGCCTGCCATCAGGAGCTCCAGGCTCATAATAGGGAAATAGGGTGACTGGCATGTGGCCAGACATGGCTCAAGATGTCCTGATGGATCCTTGCTGGCCATGCGCACAGCTGGGTGCCCACACTTGCCTCCCGCACACCCACCTTGATGTAGTTGGCATTGATGTAGTCAGCTCCAGGCACGCTGTTGTCCACGTCACGCAGGCTGACGCGGGTGGCATCGACTGGGAAAGGGGAGATGCTGCTCAGGCCTCCAGGGGCGAGGAGGGGCTCACAGATCCCACCCACCCCCTTGCCTGCTGACTGCCCGCTGTGAGCAAGACTGGGAGGAAGGGGTCCCACACGTTCTGGGGAGTGCGCAGCGGTGATGGGAATGACCGGCCCACCCAGTCAGATGGGCCCTGCGGCAGGTGGAGCCCTGGCCCTCACAAGGAAGGATGTTCTTGTAGCGATTCTTGGGCTTGTTCTCCAGCCGCTGGCCCTCCTTCCGGGGATACAGGAGCCGGCATTCCTGCTGCTGCAGCATCTGGGGACATGGGTGCTTCAGCCTGTTACCCCTGACCCCTCCCCAGAGCCCCCAGTACCCAGCCCCTGACCCAGGCCCCTCTGCTGGCCCTCGCTCTAGCCCAGAGGGTGGGAGTAGGGGCCGCTGGCCACTGGGCACCTCAAACTCCTCCCAGAAGCCCTGCTTGGCCTTGTCGCCGGTTTCCGTGGCCTTGCTGAGCTCCTGCACGCGGCTCTCCATGCTTGTGGCATTGATCCTCGTGGCCTTGAGGGGCTGGCAGGGAGAGGCTGTGTCAGAGCCTAGCAGGGCCCAGTCACCTCCACAGTACCCTCCCCAGGGGTGGCTGTCCTGGCCCTCCAACCTTCCCTTTGGCCACCCTGCCCCAGGGCTGCTGGTCACCCTTTTCCCTGGGAGGGGCTGTGCCCGTGGGCTTGCCCCCACCTCCAGGGGGAGAAGCCCACTCAAGACCCCCGGGTTCATGTGCTGGGAGCATACCTGCTTGAGGTGCACCACAGCCCCCGACTTCTCCACCATGGGGTTCTTCCTGTAGCACTCGACCAGGTCTTTGAGGGTGTCGAACTGTTCCCCACCTCCCACGTCATACTTCCCATCTGGCTGTGGGAGCAGCAGTGAGGGGCCTGACCACTGCCCACCTCCCCTGAGTCACAGCCCCTCCCAGCCACGGCCTCCCACCTGGAAGTGGATCATGATGTGGGTGACCCGGGGCTGGCAGTCCACCTTGTCTGGCTGCTGTGTGAGCACAGACAGCACAAAGTCCCCAGGTTTGCTCTGACTCTCTCGTACCAGGAAGCTGCCCACACGCCCCTTCTCCATTAGCAGCTTCTCAGCCTCCTTGCCAGACAGGTGCCCGTGGTACCAGCTGGCCCAGGGCAGTGAGAACGGGGAGCACAGGTGAGGCTGAGGCACAGACCCCCCTGCAACTAGACGGCTCCAAGCGGACACTGAGACACAGAGACAGACAGACCCACCCAGACCTCAGGTGCCCAGGTGTCCCCCCCACCCAGCAGGCCTCAGTAGGCAGCCCACCTCTCTGACCTTCGCCCATCCCAGCAGTCCCCAGGAGACAGGACTAGTGGGCTCTGCAGGGCCCTGGACAGCCACCAGGTGGCAGCCTAGTTCCCAGCAAGGTGGAGAAGGGCTACCCCTCCCAGAGCAGCCCCACCCCAGGTCCCTGGCAAATGTATTTCCCTCAGGCATCAGCAGTGCAAGATGGGGAAACTGGGGCTGGAGAAACCTGCTCCCCCCAAGTCATCAGCCGGGAGGACTGAGGTGAAGTGGCTGCAGGACCCTGCTGCACACTCACCCCTGCAGCCCGTGCCGGGAACCCAGGCGAAAGGAGGCCCAGAGCCCCAGGTGTAGGGCAGCAGGACATGCCCTCAATTTTGCCCAGCACTGGCCATGGGGTGGAGGACACCCTGGGCCACGCCCCACAGGCTTGCCCCTTGGACACTTGGATGCACGCGTGCACAGACACACAGATGCCTGGACAGACAGCCCCACGCTCACCGCTCTGACGTGGGGTCCTGGCAACCCAGGGGGTGCCGGAGCTCCACAGGCGCCCCGCTGCGCTCCCGGAGCAGACCCCCGTGCTGGCCTGTGTAGTGCTGCACCAGCTCCGCCAGGGTTGCGAACTTCTCCCCGCCATACAGGTCGTAGTAGTCGCCCGAGTTCTGGATCTTGATGTGGGTGACCTCGTCGTGGCGCCTGGAAGGGCAAGAGGCCAGCTGCCCTCTAGAGGGGAGCTCTGCTCCCACTGACCCCCTCCTTCCCATCACCATCTTCAGCTTCTGGAATAGTCCTTGGGCTTTTCCTGCCCTGAGGGTTTGGCCTCAGCAGTTCGCCTGCCAGGAACTTGGCAGCCAAGGCCAGGCCCCTCCCTCTGTGATTCCCCACCCAGCCTGTGTATGGGCCCCACCCTGGGCTGTGGGCACCTCGCCCAGGCTGCCCCCACTCTCCCCCTACCCTGAGCAGTCAGAACTGGGCTTGCAGACCACCAACTGACTCTCCCTTGGCCTGCTGGCTGAGGCCGGGGTGGCCCTCACCCCGCGCCACCTGCCTGGGGGCCTCCAGATGACTGGAGACAGCGCCCCAAGACAGTGTCCTCCAGGCCCTGCAGGATGGCTTGGGAAGCCCCAGGGAAGTTCATCCTGAGGGCTAACCTCATTCTAACCTGCTGCCTCAGGTTTGCAGAGAAAGACCTAGAGCCCTTTTGGAAGCCCCTTCCCTCGACTGTCACTCTCTCAGGCTGACCCCTTCCCATCCAGGGAGGACCCCATGGCACCCACCTGACGGACAGTGTGAAGCCCCCGGGACAGCTCTTGCTGGGTCTTGCCAAGAAGCTTCCGTGCTGGCCCCTGGACAGGAGCAGCTTCTCTGCCTCAAACCCACCGATGTTGGGGTGAAACCACCTGGAACGGGAGCACCGAGTTGGTGACCCCAGAGAGCTGGTGACATGGAGCATGCTGGGTCCATGCCCCAAGTCTGATGCACACCCAGCCGCCATCATCGCTGCAGCAAACGCCCACGAAGACCTGCGGGCCCCCCACACTTGCAACCATCCTGGGCAGTGACCACAGGGCCTGCAGCCTGCAGTCTGCGGGGAAGGAGGTGGAGCCATGGGGTCTCGGACACAGAGGGGCAGAAACTCTCCTGCAGCGGCAGCTGGGCAGCACCCTACAGGGCCGCCATCTGGAACCTGGGCTCAAGCTCTCTGGTCCCTCCCAGCCCTGCCAGGTCAGCCATGGCTCCCTTCCTGCCCTCAGCAGGCTTTCCTGCCCCACCTCCCCAAGCCCCGCCCTGGCCACCACCATCTCCCATGGCACCTGTGCAGCCTGAGTAACTCCAGCGCCATGCCAGTCCCTTGGTCAGGGGCCCCCAGGACAAGAGCACAGCCCTCAGGCTTGTCCGCCTTCCACTTGCAGCCCCAGCTTCCTCCACACAGTCCTGTGCGCCCCGGGCCTTTGCTGCAGCTGTCCTCTGCCCCCTGGCCCACATCCACAGGGCTGCCCCCTCGCTCTGTCACTAGCCTGCTTCGCTTCTCTTCATGGCGTCTGCCGCCTCCCCGACCCGTGCTCCACACTTGCTGGCCTGTCTCTCCCACCTCCAGAAGCTGTGCTTGGAGTGGCGTCGCATCCCAGTGCTGCGAGCAGTGCCTGGGTGTCAGGGAGGCCGCTTGAGGCAAGACCTGGACAGGCCAGCAAACAGAGGCGGGGGTGGGTGAATAGGTGGCAGGATACCTGAGAGGGGTGCCGCATGGCCGGAGCAGGGGGGACACCTGCTGACAGGCACGCCTCTGTAGAGGACTGGGGAAGGGATCCCAGCCCCACTCTGGCCCTGTCCCCACGGCTGTCTTTCCTCGCCTCTCCCAGGTCTGCACATGGGCCCGCATCCGAGGGGAGCCACTGCTTCCTTGACTGCTGACTTCTGTCTCATCCATTCGGGCAGGAGTTTGTGGGCCCAGGATTAAATCCCATTGGGTGGTAGCCCAGAGCCTGTCAGAGCGTGGGCTGAGTGAGGGAGTGAGGGTGTGAGCGTGTGGACAACCTCTGTGCTTCTGATGCCCCATTGTAACCTCGTAACACTGACTGGTCCACAACCAACAGTGTCTCCTGCAGGGTGGCCAAGGCTCTGAGTGAATCTCAGTGCAGCAACTCCCTCCAGTTCCCTGCACAGATGGCACATCGTGTGGGGGAGTGTCATGTCCAGGTGCTGCATCCAGTAAGAAAGTGGGCCCCCAAAGCCACCTCCACTGCCTGGCGACCCCCACACTGAGGCCCCTAAGACAGCCTCCTGGGCACAAGTGTTGGGGGGTTGCTGTGCCCTGTATGGACCCTATCCCCACCCCCTTGGCTGACCCAAGATACGTGAGCAGGGATGGTCCTGCCGCCAGAGATCTTTCTGGAAAGGGAATCAGATCACGTCTCTGGGGTCCTCTCCCTCCAGGTCCCCTTTCTTCAGGCCCCCCCTTTGTCCCTGCTCCAGGGAGACCCCGATGCTCACCTGTGCTGGCCAACACGCAGCCCAGAGCACATGTGGGATGTGAATGTAAATGCATTAAGATTCAACAACATCAAAATTCCAGTTCCTGGGTCACCCTGGCCACAGCTCAAGGCTGGAAGGCACGTGTGGCCAGCAGACTTGGCAGTGCAGGAGGCCTCGTTCCATCATTGCAGAAAGCTCCCCTGGCCTGTGCTGGCCTACACGGCCCGTCCCGCCAGAGTACTCACCATCTACTCACCTCTGCCCTCCTGCCCACTGAGACCTCGGCCCTTGAGGTCCTCGTTGCCCTCAGGGCCCAGGATCAGGCCTCAGGCACCCTCTGCAGATTTGAGCCCATCTGTCCTGTGTTCTCCGCTCTGCTGTTCTCGGGAGCTCTCCAGCCCTACTTCCCATTTCCCCTGGCCAGGGGCCTCTGCTGGGCCCTCTACCCCTCCTCTTTCCTACCCTTCAATGTCAGAGCCCCGGCTTGTGTTCCACACGTGTCTACATGTCCATGCACCCCACCCAGGCTCTAGACTTCAAATTCATGGTGCTTCTCCTCTCGGCCTCTCTGGAAAGGCCACAGCTCCTGTCTTTACATTCGCCAAGTTCAAAGCCCCAAACCGATCTTCTACATTGCCCCCTCACCCATTGCTCAGGATATGGCCTGCAGCCCCTCACGCTCTTTCCTGGTGCCATCTCTGGCCCATGGGCTCTCACTTCCAAATGTAACCAGAGTCGACCATCACCCTGGGCTCAGCTCCCACCGGCCCACCTGGACTACTGATTCCAGGCCTCATCCTTGACCCTGCAGCCAAGCCATGACTGACAAAGGGATCCTCAGAAAATGCACATCAGAGCTGCCAGAACTGGCCAGTGGGTCACTGCAGCTCCCACTGGGAATCCTCCTGTTCTTGTCTCTGTCCCCTGACCTCACCCTTGTCTGGCCACCTCTGTCCTGACCCTCTGGACCTCACGCCTCCCTTCCAGCTCACAGCTCCTGAGAGCTGCTTCTCACCTTCCAGCCCCACCGCTGCTCCCGACTTCTATGTGTGGCTCTGGTTAACCGTGACAGGCAACAGGCACTTACCGTGTTTGTGTTAATTGGTGACCCTGTGTCTTCGCCACGGCCTGCCTGTTCTGAGCCTGATGGCTCTCTGGGGTCCATGTATTGGTTCAGAGAGTCTCAGAAGCTCAGACGACCTGCCCAGAGCCACCCAGCTTGGACAATACCCTGCCCATGCTCTCCCTGGGAGAAGGGGCCAGGTGCTTCCTGGACACATTTTGGGCCTGGCGTCTTGAGTTCCCTCCCACACTGCCTTGCAGGGGAGTCAGAACTGGGGGCAGTTTCAGTTGAGTGGACCAGCAGGTGAGGCTGCCAGGAAAGGCCTCCTGAAGGAGGAGCTGCCATACAGTCTCCAAGGCCAGGCCCAGGAGAGCAGGTGAGGCCGCCAGGAAAGGGCCACGGCCTCATGCCATCACTGGGCCTGCACTGTGGTGGGGGAAGGGGGGCTGGAACCCAGAAGATGGCTTCCAACCCCCTTGGGCCACCTACTCTGCCGAACCACATCCTGTGCCCAGATGCCCCCTCCCCCTGGCCCAGCAACCTCAGCCTCCAGTCCAGGACGGGCCAGGCCCAGAGTGTGGGGGCAGAGTGGAGGTGGAGGCCCAGAATGAAAGCCACAGAGAGGGCTGAAGGGCACCTTGTTTGTCCTTTTGGGGACTCTCTATCATATTTTCCACCCTCCTCTCCACCCTGCAAGCTGCCACTGGGTCTATCAGGTGGAAATCTCCACGGGAGGGGCATCCTGAGAGATTGCAGCCATGCACACCACACAGCCCTGTCCCCACACCAGGCCTGGAGGTGGAGGCAAGGCCGGTGCCCAGCCAGTGCTGAAGGGGTTGGAGGAGGCAGGAGGCCGTGGGTCCCCACAGACTTGCTGTGCAAGGAGGCCACCTCTGTGCGAAGGGCTTCCTGCTCCGTGGTGGGTCAGGGCCTCAGCCCTGTCCTGGTGACATAGGTGGGGTGGACAAGTACCCTGGGACGCCGACAGGTCTGACAGCCAGTCAGTGTTCAGGAGGCCAAGGACAGCCCAGGTCACCAAAGAAATCAGCCTGAACCCAGACTGGCCATTGGCTGGTCCAGATACCTGCACGGCCTTGCCGTTCTGTCTGCAGATGGCACAGCTCCAGCCCTGGTCCCTGGGAGACACATCAGTGGCCTATGAACATGCCCACACACACATGACACAGGGGCTTGACATGCCTGCAGCACAGATACTTTCTGATGATGGAAGACACACAGGCCAGAAAAGGGTCCCGGACTGGAATTCCAGGGCTGAGAACTCCAGAGCCCCACTCCCTGCCCCAGGACCCCGGGCCCCCAGGCCCTGGCCCTTCCTAGTCCCAGAGAAACCTCAGCCAAGGTCTGTCCTGGTTATACAACCAAATTAACAAAGAGACATGCTTTCCCCTCCTAGGAGAGGGGAAACCTTAGGGGGCTCAGCAGGTGTCCCCTCCCCATGGGACCCAGCCCCCTCCCAGACACTAATATTGACACATCAAACCACAGAGCTAGGCAGGGCCTGTGCCCAGCCCTGTCCCACGGCCCTGGAGTCCCAGGATGATTTGTGCTGATGGAGGTGCCCGTTGACCCACAAACCAGAGGGCCACGGAAGGGGACGTGCAGCGGGGGCAGGTGCAGCGGGCCTGCCCAGACCTGATAGGGGTGTGGGCAGGGGCCCAGGGGCCAGAGGACTGACAGTCCAGATGGTCATCGCAGTGGGGTGGGGAGGGGTTGGCAAGGGCAGGCAGAGCCCCACCCGGGGCTTTCCCAGGCTGGCCTAGGGTCACATGCATGTGACATGGACATGGCCTTCTCTGGGCACCAGCACTTGCCCAGGGGACAAACAGGAGGCTGAGGGGACCCAGAGGGGCCATTCCAACCAGATGCCAACTCTCCTTCCCTGGCTTCTGGCTGGAACCCCAGGGCTTTGGGGCTGACAAGCCTGTAGGGATCTAACTTGCTTCCACAGTTCCTGAGCCCCAGCGGGCCCTTGATGCTGCCAGAAGCCACCAGGCCAGGCGTGTAGAGATCCTGGTACCCTCACCACTGAGGAGCTGCTGGTGGGGGGCAGCAGGGGTCTCCGGCTTGGGCTAAAGACCTTGCTCAGACAGGAAGACACTCTGTGGGTCTCACGGATCAGAACTTGTCCAGCCCCTCACTGACCTAGGAGGTCACGCAGGATCATAGGATGACGGCTCCTGCATCCCCCCCAGCTTCATCGAGCCCCAGAGGGGGTGCTCTAGGTGTGTCATGTGCTGGAAAATGGTGGCATGTCTCACACCTGTGTGGCTCCCCACAGACATCCACGTGCACGCCCAGGGAGCAGGGCTCCAGCAGAAAGGGCAGGAAGTACCCCGTTCCTGTAACACTCCCGTCTGCCCTGGCCGTGGAGGCAGAAGCTGGCTCCACCTGAAGCCTGTTCCTGGCATCCCTGCCAGGGGGCTCTACCCCTAAACCTGGCCTTTGGGGATGTCTGAAGGGGAGATAAGCCTGTCAAGGAAAGGCCAGTCCTTGCAGGTAGAGAGGGTCAAGCAGCCAGGGGAGACCAGAACCTCCAGGATTCCCCAGTGCTACTGCTGTGAGGGTCAGGCCTAGGGAAGGACGAGGCGCCCCTGCCGGGCAGGACGTCTCTCTGGTGGCCAAAGGGGAGCTTGGGGCAGGGCAGGGCCAGGAGGGAAGGAGGGTCTGCCACTGCTTGACACCTATTGCCCACTCTAGGCCCCAACCACTGCCTGCCACCTGCAGGGCACCTTCTGTTTCTAGTCAGGGTGCCTCTGACCTCCACCCAGGCCTACCCTCTCCCCGCTCCCCAAAGGGGAGTTCATTTCACCCGTCTGAGTGGGACCTGGTCTCACCCTCCCTCCCTCCAAGGCTGAGGCCTCCATTCCTGGATGCGGAGGGGGCAGGTGTCAGATCAGGCCTGGGGGCGACCTGGCAGAGGCACAGACGTCCCTAGTGAGTCGCATTTCGTCCGCACCCCCGTCGGCGCCCGCGGGACCCCAAGCGCATCTCTGGGGTCCCGGAGACGGCCACCGCGCGTCGGCTCACCTGCGCGAGGCCATGTCTGCTCCGCACCTCGCGGTCCGCGGTCCGGGCGGACGCGCCCTCGGGCCGGTCGGTAGAGGCCCCGCCCCGAGCCTCGCCCCCGGCTTCCTTAAAGGCGCCGCGGAACTTGGGATGAAAGCAAAAGGTTCGAGGGCGCCGAACTTCAGAACGGGCCGGGCGGGGGTGGTGTTCCCGCGGGCGCCCCGCGGCGGCGCGCACACGCAGGCCAGAGAACCCGAGGCCTTCCTGGGCGCCGCGTCCTCGACGGGGGAGGGGGCTGCGACCCCTGCGGCGGGGGGCGCGGGATGGGCTCCGAGCTGGAGGAGCGGCATGGCTCAGGCCCATCCGTTCCGCACCCTCTTGCCCCCTCCCTGGGCACCCGGGCCCGCGCCCCGCCCCGCGCGGCATGCACTCTTGAGTCTGACCCCAGGAGCCCCTGCGGCCCTTCCAAGCCCGCCCAAGGCCCAGGAAGGCCCCTGGCATCTGCCCTGCCCATCTGTACCCGCCTGCCACCTGGCCTCCGCCTTACACCTCCCGTGGCTCTGTCACCCTCAGGTCTGGATGAGTGCCTTTTTCTTGGGTCACTCCTGGAGCCCCAGACTAATAGTGTCCCCACTCCCTGTGCCTGCTGTCACCTGTTTGTCCCCCCAGCGCCTCTCCCTGTCCCCTCCCTAGCACCTGACAGCTGCCTGGCACATAGCAGTCGCTCCACTCTGAACAAGCAGGTGGAACATTAATGCGTGCGAAAGCCAACACCCAGGGGCTGAAGGGTCACCAGGGTGCTGAGCAGATGGGTATTTTTATTTATTTATTTTCTATTCACACAAAATCATAAAAGGACACTTCGTTATCGTTAATAGAAGTCAGGAAGTCAGGCTTCCGAGGACTCCACAGACCCTCATCTCTCGTTTCTTGGACATTCAGCCCAGCCCCACAGCACCAGCCCCTAGAGGGCCTCCTGTTTAGGGTCTCCCAGCAGGGCCAATGGTCACCCTCACATTTGGGCCACCCACTATGAACCCCCTGCCCTTTGCACAGCCAGCCTGCTTTCCCCACAGGCCCTCTTCCCCCTCTGCGCTCACACACACAGGCACATGCTGGGGGCTGGGTGCCTGTGAGGCTGGCCTTCATCTAGAGGCCACCCGGAGTGCTGGCCCCCCCAGCCCCACTCTCACCAGCCTGGAGGACAACAGCATGCACACTCACCGCATGGGGTTTCCTTGCCAGAAGCAGCCCCCAGCCCCGTGCAAGGCCCCCTCCTCCACCCAGGGCCACCTAAGGGAGCCAGAAGCCTGCATTGCTCAGGAAGAGGCCGCTGGAGAGGGGCCAGCCCAGTGGGGCTGATGGGAGGTGTTTGGTGCGGACAGATCCAAGCACTGCTTTTAAGTGTTCAGACTTTATTTCATGGTGACTGACAGACACAGACTGGAGTTAGTAACATGACACATGGGGCTCCCTCCAGCCTCTGTGTCTAATGGCCCAGCCCTGTCTGCAGGAGGAATGGGGCTGCCACTGCCCCACCCCTGCAGGACAAGGGCAGGGTCAGGGGACAGGATGGGATGAATGTGACGTTGCAGTTTAAGGCTTTACAGCCAACTCTGCCGCCCCTGTGCCCATCCCCTGGCCTTGGTCAGACGCCTGGCTGGCCTCCAGTCACCTTCAGTAAGGACAAGCACCCCTCGCGCCAGAGCTGGAGAGGGTTTGCCATGTGGCCAGGACAGGAAAGACGACAGCCCACCGCTGCAGGTGTCACAGTCAATGCATAAAGACTCTGTGGTTGCTGGTCAGGCCTGGACATCTGTTCTCAAGAGGCAGACCTGGCTGCCCAGGCAGCGAGCAACCGCAACTGCATCACATGGCAGCCCTGCTCCCTCCTGGGGCTCCTCATGGAGTCTGGGGGGTCAGAGAGGGTATGCAGCCATGCCCAGAGCTGCTGGGTAGACAGGCCGAGCCAGCTGAAGATCAGGGTGCCCCAAACAGGCCTGGGCCTGGCCCCAATTTTTCAGCACCTGGGACTGGTGGACACAACAGAGGGAGGGGCATGGTGGGGCCCCAACAGTAACATTGCTTCTAAGTCACAGTATTGGCCCATGAGGCCTGGGAGCGGCCAGCCTGGGCCGGAGCCTAGTCTGGGAGGCTAGCTGCCGCCCACAGCCCACACAGGGAGGGCAAGCAGCTTGAGTGGGAACCTGGAAAGGCCCAAGGGCTTGCATGGAAGCAGGGCCCCCCCCACACCCCAGGAGTGCTTTCCTGCTCTGGGGACACTGGCCTTGCCAGATGGAATATGGGTGAAGTGTGTGTGGGGAGTGTCTGCTGACAGACCAGAAAACACAACAGCCCAGTACAGGCAGACACGTGGGGGAGGGGCACAGAACGAGGGGCAAGGACACGGCGGCCAGACGCGGAGGGCACTTTGCTGGCCAAGCCCTCCACGCTGCCATATCACCCCTGAGTCTCTGCACCAAGTCTATCTCTGCAGCTCATCTGCCTAGACAGGAGGGAGGCCAGGCCAGCAGTCTTTCTGGCCAACACATAGCCAAGAAAATCATATCAAAAAAGCAACAAGTTTACAAAAATAGAAAATAATTACAGCAGGGTGGGTGGCAGACTGCAGTGTGCTCAAGGGGCAGGACAGGGCCGAAGCTCTGGCATAGTAACAGCATCTTCCAGCAGGTGCAGCGGGCGCCGACCCACCACCACGCCCCGCAGGCAGCCCACAAAGCCTGTGCCATAAGCCTTGGGCAGGGCCTGACTGATGGGCAGCTTCTCTAGGCCACCTGTCGGAAGACAGGAGGAGGGTCACCTGGCTGAGACTATGATGTGCAGGCTGGGACACCAGTGGGCACTGGGGCCCACTGGCACCTGCATGACCAGGTGAGTTACCTGGAGCTGGTCAGTGCCCAGGGGGACCAACCAACCAGCAGACATACCCCAGCCTCTGGCCTCACAGAGCCCCACAGGCAGGACAGGAGGGAACGGGGTGCTGCCCCAGCTGCCCATCTGCTGTCCTAGATGGGGCTGACTCACATGCTGCTCTCAGTTTGGGCTCCAGGGGATGCCACCCCTCCTCTAGCTTCTCCCAAATGCTCACCCAGCCACAGGGTCCCATCTGTGTCCAGCTGCGTGGCGCCCAGCGGGGAGGAGCCAGTCACAGGGGCCTCATTGCCCACCTGAAGAGAACCTTCCCTCTGTTCCCTGCAGGTGGGGGATGAGGCTGTGGGGAGGCTCCAGAGGGCCACCCTGCCACCTCCAGATGCCGTCCTCCCCATGCCATGCCCCAGGGACCACACCACGGATCACCGCTGGGGAACAGGGCAGGGACCTCGTGCAGGCCAAGATGTGCTGGAGTGGACGGCCAGGCTCAGACAAGAGGGACGCGACCCCAGCCAGCATCTGGGTAGAGCAGGGAGGCCCTTTCCAGGCAGGGGCGCCCTGGCCATAGCTGCTCTCCCGCACCCTCTTGTCCCTCCCCACCTCACTGGCAGTGACCTCAGGTCAGGCAGCCAGACCTGCCCCCCACCAAAGGCCCCCCCCAAGCCACGAGTGACCAGGCATGCCCTGCCTGGGCAAGTCCAGGCACCACCTGCCCGCTGCATTCTTGGTGCGCCCACTGACCTGTGTGCCCTGACCCGCAACCAGCGGTTAGTGTTAACTGGAACTGTGGAACGCAGCACCACGGGCTGGGAGCCTAGGTCGTAGGCCAGCTGCAGGTGCCCATCCACAATGGCCAGAGCCACATAGTCGGCCCGCTCCACGGCCTTGCCGCTCCACAGCACCAGTCCCTGTGTGGCCTCTGTGCGCAGGCTCAGCTCAAAGCGGTCACTCTGCAGCGCCTTCTCGCTGGTGGGCAGAGGGCTGGTCAAGGCCTCCACAGATGGCAGGGGTGGGTGGGGAGGCATGAGGGCAGGGGCCACAGGGCTGGCAACATCAGGGAGCCGACACGCAAGCAGAGGGGCCAGGTGGACAGAGGGACGGCATGGCGAGAGATGGGTGGGGGGCAGGACAAGGGGCAGATAGCGGGGCCAGGGTGCACTGCTCACCTGAGGGGGGCCCCGGAATCTGGAGCTTCCGGGCTTAGAAGCAGGAAGAGAGGGAGGCAGGTGAGATGGGGACAGACAGACTGTGGTGCGGGGAGGGGAAAGACCCGGCAGCAGCCCCTCCCTACGTCCCCTTCTCAACAGTGGGAGGCAGGAGGTGCAAGCATCCACAGAAGACAACTGGGAGCCGGGGTGGGGCTCTGCCCACCACAGAGCCCCAGCAGGGACACATGTGCAGCTCCCATGTGCAGACAGAGCAGGTGGGCAGGGCCCGGGTCAGGTGCAGAGCTCAAGAAGTGATGGAGGCCGACAGCCCAGCTCTGGGGGAAGCCCCTACATGTCCCAGCATATGTCTGCATGTTTGAGCATATGGCCACGTGGGTGTGCATGTAGTGGCACAGACATGTGCACGCATACACACGCATGTGCACTGTGCTGGTGCCTTGTGTTGAGGGCAGTGGCTGCAGGGGCTGGGCAGGGTGGCTGGCCTTCAGGAAGGGGTGACACCTTCCAAACTAGGAAACGAAGCCTCAAGCATAAACAGCCCCCCACCCTCAGCAGGGACACGCTGCCGGGTGGACGATGGACGGAGGGGGGAAGGGCCCCGGCGCTACTTACGCTGGGATCTCATTGGTCAGCTCGCTTGGAAACAAAGAGACAGGTGGTGAGAAGGAAGGAGGGCAGAAGGGCAGAGGGAGGCAGCAGGCTGGCTGCGGATACGGGCCTCCCCTTCCTGGCTCCAGAGCCGAGGGCCGCTGGCCCTACACCGCGTGCACAGACAGGGCCAGACAGACCACGAGGGGAGCTGGCCCCCGTGCGGCGCGTTACCTCTCAGTTACGGCGTTGAGGTACTCGATGTAGGTCCGTCCATCAAAGGCCAGTGTGTCGAGGTCCCCTGCCGACTTTTCAATCAGCCCTGAGATAGACAGCTGGGGTGAGGGCTGGCCTTGGGCAGGGTCCCCCCACCAGCCGGGCTCTGTGCCGGGCAGCACTCACCCCTTTCACAGTGTGGTCCTGAGAAGCCCCCAGGACACAGGCACTCATAGGTGGCCTCCTGAGGGACACAGGAGGCCCCGTTGAGGCAGGGGTG